ATGATGATATAAATTCAAAAATTCTGAATATAAAATTTAAATAAAATTACAACACTAAATATTTTTTGAATGTTATACGCTTATAAATTTTGATTTTATCGTAGCGAAATAGAAAGATGGCAGGTTATAACTTCCTGATTCTAAATTACTTGGATAGATTAGAAGATATTTTATTGACAGTAATATTATGTTCGTGTTATTTCTTCGTTTAACATTTAGAATTAGATTAGATTAGAACTTATAAAAATTAAATTTTTTATTTCTAATATTAAATTTTTATAAAGTAAAACTAAATTCTTAATTTATTTGTAATAATATACTTTGTTAATAAATTATAATTGTACGTAATAGTTTAAAACTATTTTTTCGAAACCTTTTGTGTGTAATATAGCCTATATATATATAATGAAATAAAAACTTGTAGTAGATAGAATAGAGAAATTCAGTAAACATACAGAAGCTTAAAAAACTTCATTCCCATTTACTTATAAAATTAATTTATTCCTCCAGTATTTGAAAAATTTTCACGTATAATATTTGAGAAACAGCAGCAGTTTACATGAATATATTACAATTCTATGGTAAATTATTTTATTTTACTATATTTATCATTCTGGATTTTTATTATTTAAATGCAATTAAAAATTTTTGGATAAACTGTTTACAATTAACAGAAAAATATTTTTAAATAAAACTAAAAATATTTCATTTCTTTTACGTTTTAACTAAAGATAAATAGAATGTTTAGAGTGGATTATTTTAATTAAATAGTTTATTTTGACTAATATAACCGAAAATCGCTGTGTAATAAAATTCAGTAGCCTATAACAACTGCCTACAGCCTACAAAAATTATAATGCTTCGACATCACACAAGGCATTTTCCGCCCCATTTTTAAGTTGACAAGTGAGTCTACATTTGCACTTCTTCATACTTGTTTGATCTGTGGTCGAACAGATAAAGCTCTTTAGAATCAAACTGGAATTGAATGGATGTATTTGAACCACGTCATTGGCCTTTCTATTCATTTTCTTTGTTGACTACTTACAAAACTTATATTGTACTTTATATAAGAAGTTGATAAAATATATTCAAACAATATAAAAAGAGTAAACAGTATTATCACTCAGAATAATCATTTTATCTAGTTTCATAATTAATTTTTTCAAAAAAAATTTATATCCGTCAGAAGATAGATATTCCATAACAATTATGCAGAGATTATAAACAATGTCGTAGCGTATAAAACTGAAGAACTCAAATCTGAATTATTCAGCCCGACCTAATTAATGAGGTCAAAGAATAATTATAAACACCGAATTATTCATTTTGAAATAGATCCAATAAATTTAAACTTTTTAAATTAAAGTTTTATTGATAATGTTATGTGGATTTATTATAATTGAAAAAAATTACATGGATAAATTTATTTAGACATTTCAAATATGATTAAATTAAATTATTATTATTAGCGTCAACTTAAGAAGAAAGAATTCAAATATGTTATTGATAAATTATTAAACTGAAAATCTAATTTAAGCTTTTCTTTTAGTAAAAATATCGACACTAATCGAATTCGATTCGAAATAATTGATGAAGTAACACGAGTAAGCATGATATATCAACTCTCACGTACAGAAAGAATTTTTAAATTATTTTAAAAGCAATGTGTATTATAATAAATTTTAAAACCTGTTATTTTATACTAAAATATAAGCAATAAAATTAGACATTATATAGTCTATATATAAATTATATTTTAAAAATTAACAGAATTTATATCATTTTAAAACAGTTAATATCTGCACTTAAATTCGTAATACATATACATTAATTTATTAATAAATTAAACTAAACAATTAATGTAAATTTATTTTGAATTAATATCCAAACTAAAATTCTTTCCAAACGAAAATCTAACAAAGCTTTGTAAGTAGCGCGAACTGCACATTTCTACCCCAAGCCTGGCCTCTGGGCCTGGGTTCTACTGACCCTACATTGGGGATTTTTCCCCCATGGGGAAGGCCTAAAATTAGGGGAAAGTGTCACAGTCCTCCACCACACCCCACCAGATGAAAATAGAGGAAGTGAAGGGGCCCGGAATAGGGACACATTTATACTTTCTCTGTTATCCAAAAGATTATTATTCTACCATTCATAGAAAATATCAATATCTCCGTTTTTATATATTATTTGAATTTATTACTATTAATTGATTAATCACCAAAAAGGAAAAATTATTATAATTAAAAATTCGATTTGAAATAATTAAGAATAAATAACTGACAAATATAAGTAAAACGATTTTATTCTAAAACTTAACTTCCATTCCTTACGAAAATTACTTCACCCCACAAAAATAATTATCCTATTAATACAATAGGTCAGTTCAATTTTCAGTTTGCTGTATTAATAATTAGAAATAATAGAAATTGTAATATATAAGAAGTTGTTAAAAGCAATAAAGTAAATATCTTTAAAAATTAAATTTGAAAACAGAACGAAATACATTACACGAAATAAAAGTTATATAAAAATCGTATGATCTTAATAAATATTATTTAAATCACGCATATTTAAAATGGGAAATAGCGTATCAAACATAAAAACCATCACAACAAAGTATCTATGTTTATAATCAATAATAGATTATACAGTATATAAATATGAAAGCTTTTATATTTAATTTTATGAAACATTATAATTGTAATTTTGAAAATTAAATACGATTAAATATTTTCGAACTACAGCTACATACTTCGAATAAAACATTTCGGTATTATAATAATTTTATTATATAAATATTTTCTTGATAAAAAAAAGGATTTAAAATATTTGTCATAATAAGAAGAAAGCTTTACTTAAATATATAACTATCTGTAATTTATCAAATTATAGAAAAAAAATCAAACTGATTTATTATTCTAAATATACAGTATATAATTCTATTTATTAGTCTAATATTTACACTTTAATTTAATATAATTTCTTTAAATTAAAAACAGTTAAAGTCTACGAAAAGCAGTTCAGAAAATTGATTGATATTTATTCGTAGCTTTCGAAATATATTACCCTAATAAAAGTACATGTTTATGAAAAATATAGAAAATAATCTGAAATCTTATATATCTAAACAATATATTTCAAGTATATTATTATTATTAATTGAAAAAAGCTAACTGTAAATCGTCTATGAAGATATAGGATGGAATATAAGATCGAAATAAGCTAAATTGTAATTAAGTCTTAAATTATTCACGAATGCATGTGTAAGCAAGATTCAACGAAACAAAGAAATATTGTAAACTTAAATAAACTGATTATGTAGGCTATTTAAGTCTGTATGAGAACGAACTACGAAAAGAAAGGAGTATGAAGATTAAAACATAAATTTGAAAACGCTTGTAAGGGTTTCCGAATTAGAACGATATGAAGAAATAATTAAAATACATTCTTATTTTAAAAGAACGAATAAAAAACAATATATAAACATAAACACTTGTACTGAAGATATTCGATTAAAAAAAATCGGAAACGAAGAAAGAGGAAGTAAGTGGCAACCATAAAAAGTGGAAAGGTATATAGAGATCGCTTGAATTCTCTTATGGTAAAAGATACTACAAATTGCTTAAAATTCAATAGCAAGATAATATTATAACAAAAAAATTGAAATCTATTTTATTAAATTCCTAGTGGAGACGAATTTATATTTAATTTCCGTTACATACTGACGTAATATCTAAAATTAGTTATTTGCCAATCTTTCTTTGGCCGTTGCAAGGTCATCAGGTAATTCTATACCGATCAGCTAATTTTAAAAGTATTCGATAACGTACAGTTACTCATAAAAGTACTTATATTCCTTAACACATACTATAACAATAAATACAATTCTCTATTATTATTCTTATAAATGTTTTTATGCTGACCGCAAGAGGCGCTGAGATCGTAAGCCTTTTATTAAGATCGCAAATATACAGAGAAGCTCTAAGACTAAATTGTTATTTAAAAACGTTTTCCGAAAATAATTCTTGTCACACTTATTTGTTGCTGTGATGATAATTTTCAAATTTAAAACTAAAAAGTTCATATATAATTTCTATAAGTATGCTATTAACTTAAATACATCACCCATAATTTCATCAAAATAATTATTTTAAAAATACATCTCAATTTTCTGTCCGTTTTGCAATATCAGCGGCATTTAGAAATGCAAACTCCAAAACGGAGTGAACAGCTAAAGTTATTGATAAATTA